TATATATATATAAAAAGACTAAAGCAAAACAATAAGCTAAAACTTGACGGAGGAATTTACTCGATCGTCTGTAATAACTGTTACAAAAATACATAGGGGAAACCTCAAGGAATTTAAATGACATATTATATGAACACAAAAGGAATATTTTACAAAATAATACATCAAATGCGTTGGTTGCCTACCGTAATGAGACTGACCACAATTTTGACATAAAAATGCTACTCTGACCTGAGGAAACAATTAGCTATGAGGAAAATGTCCAGACGGTGACTTGACAGTAAGGTTATCTAAAGTAAATTTGCGCCCGAGCTCATACAATATTTCAGATTTCCTGACAGTATTTCTAAATTCAATGTGGGATATCTACAATCAAAATTAATGAAAAGAAAAAAAATGAATCTAAAAAAAATTTGCTCGTTTAGTTTGTTTTTTGGGGACTGGAAAATTAAGGGACTGGACTATTTTTTTTCTTTTGCCCTGTTCGGACGTTACTAGTTCTTTCCTTTTTTTGTAATTTTTTTCTCGGATAACAATTTGTTTTGATATACTTGATATATTTACTTCGATATATATAAATATTGATAGATTGTGTATTTCGGCAGAATTTCTTCATTTATGCATGCTTCATTAAAAACGACAGATCAGGTATTTTTGGAGGTAGTGTATGTCTTTATGATATTTGTAAACAGAAACGAAACATACTAGTAGAAAATACAAACATAATAACATCATCCACTTGTAAAAAAAAGATTAAAGATAATGGAAGCCTTAATAAGAAAAAATACTCTTAACAATATTAACTACGAACTAGGACACAACGTGCTAACCGTGTTCGGAAAATAAAACACCTCTATAACACAATAAAAGCATACACATAATACACAGACTCGTTTAAATTGAAAAATAAAATCATCCTTGATGATTGCTAAATGTATAGCCGAAAGCACTCGGAACTATAAAATATTTGAACAGTTTCTAGACACTGTGTCCAAAAAAGAATGCTCTAGTGCGAACATAAGAAAAATTAAATGAAAAGTTTGATCGTAGTACCTTGTCTGTCGTTTTTAATGAAAGATAGATAGATAGATAGATAAATTCGATGGGCAGATAATATGCAATGTAACAAATATTCATATGTATTTTATACATATTTCTGGAGTCGTGTAAATTTGGAGAATAAACGCTATGTCTTAACGAGAAAGAAAAATGCTTAGAAACATGTAATCTCACGTTAAAACGGTTCAGGTTAGAAGAATGATATTTATTCATAAATCTAACGAGTTTTTCCTGTTTTTTTTTTGTTTGTTTTTTGCTATTAGAGTTTTCATTTATTTATTCAGATGCTTTAAAAATTGTTGCAACTGTGACGCGTCACAATCTCCGTCCCCTACTGACACGCCCCGTTGCCAAATCTGTAAAGTTGCTGAATGTCGATTATCTCGTGCCAGTTACATTAATACTTCGTTATATATATATATATATATATATATATATATATATATATATTTTTTTTTTTTTTTTTTTTTCTCAGTTTATTTTTTTAATAGTTTCCAAACTTTTCTTTTTACTTGTCGGCAAGCTCTTATATAAGCGCTGTAGGAATTTTGACACGAAATCTGACTCGCAAATACGTTACTCCATTTAACGAATACAGATAATGAAGACGCACTGTGTGGCTTTATAAAATCGTAGACGTCAGAAGGGAGTTTAAAAAAAAAAAATCGAAAATGTAAATCAGCCCCATGCACTTCGTTGTCTACAATATGTCACTGTTTGCAAGACACAAATATATTCCTATTTAAAAAATCAGACAGAGAAAGAGACATAAATAAATAAATTTTATATATATATATATATATATATATATATATATATATATATATATATATATATATTTACATATATATATTTACATATATATCTGTATACATACACATCCACACACACACACACACACACAAAATATATATATATATATATATATATATATATATATATATATATATATATATATATATATATAATCAAGTAAATTCTTGTATATAGAAATATTTATACACATACGAACAAATATTTGCATAAGGTAATCACAAAAAGTTTGGAACGTCATTTTTACTCAAAATACTTAAGTAATAATAATTTATATATATATATATATATATATATATATATATATATATATATATATATATATATATATATTTTATATATACAATATTTATATATATATATATATTATATTTTATACATACAAACATACATATAAACATCCATACATACATACATACATACATACATACATATATATATATATATATATATATATATATATATATATATATATATAATCCCAAATCATCTCATATGGGGAATTAGCTGATTTCAACCGCCGAAAAAATATTTTTTTGTCGGCTGAAATAAGCTTATTCACAATGTGCGGTGATTTTGGATTTTATTGTTCATATATATATATATATATATATATATATATATATATATATATATATATATATATAGCTAACTAGATAGATAGATATGTATTACGAAATGGTCTAAGTCAGACAATTATTTGAATATATTTTCTGTTTATACGTTATTTTTATTGATACAAATATTTCAGTAAAGGCTCTGCTAAAAAAAAAAAATATGTACTAAGAACATTTAGTACATTTTAATAGAAAATATGTTATCCGACAGGAATTGAATTGGAAAGGGATAATAATAAATGTATAGCCGAAACCGCTCAGAGTTAAAGAAAAGAAAACACTTATTCAAGCACAAGAAAAATTAAATAAAAAGCTTAATCCTAGTACCTTGTCTGTCATGAATAAATGAAGGATTTCTGCCTAAATACAAAATACACACACACACATCTATCTCTGTCTCTGTCTCTCTGTCTGTCTCTCTCTCTCTCTTTATATATATATATATATATATATATATATATATATATATATATATACATATATACAGGTAATAGAAAATCCGTTGGTATATAATCCAAGTGGATCCTAGCAATATAAAATATGAAAACTGATCCACAAAAAGAGTTCAATGTATTTATTATAACAGAGTATATAAATTGAAAAACAAAATCCCAAATTACCTCATATGGGGGGATATTTTGGATTTTGTGGTGAGTTGTTAATTTTTGAATTTTGCTGTGTAATACACACACACACACACACACACACACACACACATATATATATATATATATATATATATATATATATATATATATATATATAATCTTATAAATATAAGTAATTATACTCGTCTGGAAAAACCTTCGGTGTTTTGGCTTGTAAATGAAAAAAACAATACCCAAGGAAAAATAAGGAAAAAAAAAAAGAACATGTAATTCAGGTGAAAACAATCGACCAGAATACAAGCTCAGAGTCCAAAGAGAAAAACCTTCGACACGAGTGAAGTAAAAACGATCCGCGTAAGTGAAACTTAGGTAGGTTTGCCTGGATCTTTAGCTTCATAGTTATATATATATATATATATATATATATATATATATATATATCAATGATTTTTCTTTTTATTTTTTTAATCAGGTATATTTTTTTATTACTTTAAACCTCATTTTTAGTAGATAACCGTATTTGAGAAGAAGTACCTTTTTGTAAACGGTTTTTAGTTGGAGAAAACTTAACAAAGAAAATGTGTTAGGTTTTAAAACTGGCCCCATTCGAAGGAGAAACCGCCGTTTTATCCAATGTAATTTAGATCCCTCGCTTAGGGAGAACATCCCATCCAAGCAGGGATCTTTTTGCCTATAAGCACATGTCGTCATTCCATAGATTTCTCGAAAGACACATCTCCTCAGTTTCTTATCCGAAACGTAAATAAAGCAAGAAAAAGTATAATGTTAGAAATGGCATCATGACACTTTCCACTGACAAAAAAAAAAAAAAAAAAATTACATAGATAAAGCCCTTCGTAAAGTGTGGGCTGTACTTGACAGAACAATTTTTTGTATCTCCTTGAGGCATGGACTTCCAGGAATTCCTTCAATTAGTCTACTGTAATCTTTTCCAACCAGTCCTAGGGCTCCAACTACAACAGGGATTGTTGATGTTCCCATTATTATTATTATTATTATCGATACTGACTCAAGATTCTATTATAGAACATTAAATGTTTTCGCAAATTCTCTGGGTTGTATTTTTCCAACTGTAATAGTAGCGTTTCTTGATTTATGTTCGCCTCTCCTGATATCTTGCTTTTTATATACAGTGAGGTTTTCCGCCTTAGTTACATGCATTTGTAATATAGCTTATTTTAAAAATTGCATGGATGAATACTCTAAGGATTTTCCCTTGAGATTCAGGTGCGTCTACTATAATATATGTGTACTTTTTATGTTGTCTAATACTTTATATATATTGCACCTTCTCGGGATGACATTCTCAGCTGACATTAAGTGGAAAGACTATATTGAATCCATTGATAGGACAGCTGCTAAGAAAGTTGTTTCACTGTGTCGTAGAAGACAATTTTTCTTTACAGAATCTATCATATATATCTAAAGTCTACCGTTCGTTCACGCTTAGAATATTGCTGGCACATATGGTCCGATGTCCCTGCTATTTACCTGAAGCTCCTTGATGTAATGCAAAGAATCGACAATATTATCAGTTCTGATCTAGTGACTCGGCTTCAGTCACTTTTCCATCACCATAAATGTATATCACCCTTATCTTTACATTCATATATATATATATATATATATATATATATATATATATATATATATATGTGTGTGTGTGTGTGTGTGTGTGAAGAGAGAGAGAGAGAGAGAGAGAGAGAAAAAACATTAGAAATTATTTCTTTTACTATTTATCATCTTAGTTCCTGTTGTTTTGGAATTCCATCTTGAGAAAACGATTCTGATATAGAAGCAATAAAAGTGTCAAAGAGATTTTGAACACTGAAGTTCAGACGAGATAAAGAATTCTTCGTTGATCGAACCACATGATATTACGATGGATCCGAATTCAGGACATATGCTCCGTAAGAAATTTCCCAATCCAATTCAGGTATATTTCTTGTACAGTCGCTGTGGTAACTAATTTATGGACGAGCATTTCTGTATGTAATGTTTTAGGCCATAAGTAATGCCCGTGTTTGGAAACCAGTTTTAATATTTGAACGAATAAAATTGACAAATAAATATTATACATCATGCTTTTCTAATTGTTTTTTACATCCTGCACAAGGTCGAAAGTAATGAGCACTCAGTGTGGATCAAATACAATACTCAGTAGTAATTGATCTTGAGAGACAAACTTCCTAAAAATTGTATCACGTCGAAGTGCCCATGTAGTGATTTTCTTATCGTAGCTTAGATGTGACGAAATCATGGATCGAATTCTCTATTCAGCCTTAATTGTTCTAACGAGAAAAACTTGTTAACCATTACAAAATATCTGTATGCTCTAACGGAAACTGTTTATGACCTCAAACTAATATTTTTCACGCATCAGTATGTGTCTAAGTCTCTAGCATGTGCTTGTGCCATTTAATATGCAAACATACACATGCACACAATTTGACTTAACTTGAAATCACTTGGCTGATCAAGGAAATCGTCAAGTTGGAGACAAGCAACAGCTTAATGTCTGTCAAATTCTTTCTTTGATTATATGAGTGTGGCAGTGAAATAACATAAAAATATGAATAAAAAACTCTTCAGGCCGAAAGTGATAGATATTTTAGTACAAATGGCGCAGGCCTAAAGTGATAGAGATTTTAGTACAAATGGCGCAGGCCTAAAGTGATAGAAATTTTAGTAGAAATGGCACAGGCCTAAAGTGATAGCGATTTCAATACAAGTAGCGCAAGTAGAATGAAGGCTGAAATATCACGATTAATTTTTCGGAGTAAAATCCATTATTTTTCAAAGCGTAAAACTATCAGATTATTACACTATTTCATCGAATATTTCGGAAGTAATTCGATAATCAATAAAACCATATTTGAAACGTACACAGAAAATTTGAATAAAATTGAAATGAACATCTCTATCTTGTGGCTTAATTTCTCCTTCTCTCTGACAACAATCTCTGGATAACAGGAAAAGAGTATAAGCGGAAATATTCAGTTCTGTGAAATAAATAACAAATCTACTAATAAATATAGTATTTTAAATAGACAAACAACTTTGATTTGAAATTTAGTTATGTTGTGGAGCTGTGGGTACAGAACTCGTCGGGATATATTATACAGACTCTAAATCACCCTTACAATGTGGCAACAGATTTATACATTTTAACGCATTTTTCAAATTTCACATTATCAGAGAAATTAGGCAAACATCATGTTACAATAAATGATGAACACCTTGGTACATTTAACAAACAAACTTCAGGCTCTGCGATGGGATCACCTCTTTATCAGATTCTTTCCTCTTAATCTTCCTTTGAAATCGTTTGAAATTTTCTTCTGTTTTTGAATTGTAAGTATCTCTATCTATAAAAGGCAGGGTGTGTGTGTGTGTGTATGTGTGTGTGTGTGTGTGTGTGTGTGTGTGTGTGTGTGTAACAAATGCACGGCCGCAATTTGCACCAAAATTTACATGCACATGCTCCAACTTAGCAGGAAGGCCAATACCGACCTTGCATTTCCCAACTCCCATCGATAGTGTAAATAATCGAGTTTTCATGCTTCTATGGCAGTTTTCATGTAGTTTGCGGCCATTTTCTACTAGCCAGAGTGAGAGCCTATAGCTGGCTGCCATGAATAGGCAGGAAGATTCTATTAGCCAGTGTGAGAGTCAACAGCTGGCTGACACGAATGTTAACTAAAAAAAATCGATAGCTGCATTCGTCACAAGTGGGAAAAATTTAAATCTGCATGGCACTTTACTCCAATTGGCTCATTCGCTTGCTTAAACTCAACGTTGATTGTGATTCCTCAGAACTGGGTTGGACGTGAAAAAGTATTTGTTGTTAACATTGTTTTTTCATTCGGTTTTTCCAGTTAAAGCTGATCGTTTTGTGTTCATTTTGTTTAGTTCATTTTTCGTAACAGATTTAATGTTTAGTATAGAGCTTAGAAAAAATTCGCAGTGTGAGATAGGCAAGAAGTAAGGCATGTGGCAACATCATCACTGCAAAGGGCACTCCTTTAAAGGCAAGGAAGGGCAAAAATATTTTAAGTCAAGTTATAGTGATTGCTGTATGAGTGGTACGATTTTTGAATCAAGCACGGGCAACGCCGGGTCATACTGCTAGTTTTCTAATAAATGTATTTTAAATAGACAAACAATTTCAATTTTGAATTTGACCATCTTGCTGTCAGTGAAGCGACAGAGTCGAATTAACGTCTTCTTTTTCTTGTTCTTTTTCTTCTTGTTCTTTTTCTTCGTTCTTTTTCTTCTTTTCTTCTTTTTCTTCTTTTCTTCTTTTTCTTCTTTTCTTCTTCATTTTCTTCTTCGTCTATGTGTCATGCACTTTCTTAGTAAATGTTGCCATTTTGCTATCCCTCCTAAACTCTGTTTTGCAACCAATTTACGCGAGCTCGTTAGGTAGGTTTGGTGCTATTTTCATCTGTTACTTGCCTTCAATCTGTCCTGTGAGTGTCAAAGTTCCCAGGCCTTCATTCCTCATTATATACCCTAGAAATTTCAAATGCCTCTTTCTGATGTCCTTTTCAATTCCATTTTCTCTAAAACTTCGTCATCGTCCATGATATTCCCAGCATCCTTCTGTAGAACTATACTTTTGTTGCCTTTTCTTCATCTGTGAGGAAAATTGTCCTGCATTCACTGACAGCCACGAATAAAAGATTACCTATCTTCTGTAGACTACTTAAGAAGAAGCGTCTTTCGTGGAATAATTTTTGTAAGTTATCATTCATTGATAGTTTTACAGTTCTGTTGTCTTTTCTTCATCTGTGAAGAAATTGGTTGCATTCACTGCCATATTGAAAGACTCATATTAAGTTAACTACTCTTTTCTTCATTTCGAACGAATTCTCCTAATGCTTATTCAACACACCGTACTTAAGTTCACCCACTAAAAATAATGCTTAAAATAAAATTAGACAAAAGCTTTCAACTGTATTTTTCAAAATGGATGCTTATTGGTTGAGCTGTCGATGTAACCAAGCCTTTTTCCTTTTCTCAGTGTAATGCTTCTATCATTAATCTTACATATCGTCTTATTGTCTTATTGTCACGCAAGATTAAATAACACATTTATAATCTTTATCTCTCTGTTTAGACGCTTATTAACGCAGCCATTATTCATTGTGCTTCTTGGAGGTCACATCTGTTCTATTATCTCATGTCTTTTTTTTCAGCGTGTACACACTCGCAAACTTGCACATTTCTCATCTGATTCTAAAATACTGGAAAGTTTAGCGGAAGCAAGATAAAGTGGGAGCCGAGAAGAGAAGATTATCTATCTTCTGGGAACTACTTAAGAAAATGGGTCCCCTCGTAAAAAAAAAAAAAATCCTGGAAATTATCAAATTATTTGCAAATTATCATTCATTAACAGGTTTACGGCCATATCACGTTCGATGACCAAAGTTAAGCAACGTCGAGTCTGGTCAGTACTTAGATGGGTGCCGCTTCAGAATACCAGTAGCTGTAAGTTTGGATGTGATGGTAGTTACACTTACGGCCATATTACGTTAAAACTCCGGTTCCCGTAAGATCATCGAAGTTAAGCTACGTCGAGCCTGGTCAGTACGTAGATAGGTTAACAATTGGGAATAGCAGGTGCTGTAAACTTGGACATGCGTGTCGTATGGCTTGCGGCCATATAATAGTTCCGGTATTGTATGCATTTACAATATCTCCATTTCGTAACCCTCTAACGATATATATATATATATATATATATATATATATATATATATATATATATATATATATATATATATATATATTTAGTGGAAAATATACATACATATGAAAAATATATCTAAAAATTCCCATACATGTATATTTTCAGAAAAAATTTTCAAGAGGAAGGATCCAGGTAGAACTCAATGTCTAGGACAGAGTAAGGATATAATAAAAAAGGCTTAAACACTAATATTCCATGGTCATAATTTATTCCATTGGAATCGTATATATATATAATATTATCTGATAATTAGTAAGGATAATTCCAAAGAGGATATAAATCAAAAGAGAGATCAATGTAAGAACAGAGCAAATATAATAGTGAAGAAAGCGGAGACTTTAGAAATCCATGGTAATAATTTATTTCACGGGAACAATTCCCATCTCCTCAGACCAAACAATTTTACAGCAATAGATGAATTTTGAATTTATTTTTTTGCTTGTGTCTGGATAAATTTAAAATTCATCTACTGCTGTAAAATTGTTTGAGACAGGATTTGGTCCCGTGAAATATATTATTACCATGCATTTCTAAGTCTCCTTTCTTATATATATATATATATATATATATATATATATATATATATATAATGATGAAAGCGGAGACTTTATAAATGCATGGTAATAATATATTACCATGCATTTCTAAAGTCTCCCTTTCATCATATATATATATATGATGTCTCCGCTTTCATCATTACATATATATATATATATATATATATATATATATATATATATATATATATATATATAATGATGAAAGCGGAGACTTTAAAATGCATGGTAATAATATATTTCACGGGACCATATATATATATATATATATATATATGTGTGTGTGTGTGTGTGTGTGTGTGTATGTATGTATATATATATATATATATATATATATATATATGGCATGTTTCGTTGAATAATTTAGAGATGTTCTATCTACTTATTTTCAATTGAAACCTTTAAACTTCACGGGTAAGCTTTTTACTCTCATTAATGAAGGACGAGAGAATACTACGGTGTTGATAGATATTTCTTTTATTCCGAGTACTTTCGACATAGCACAATGTCATCATCAGGGTATTGTTTATTGCAAGACAAATATTGTAGTGTTCATTATTGTCGAAGAAAAAATTGTTGTTTTCATTTGTGGAGTGATGAACGCTGAGTCAGTGCGTGACCGCCGACACCGTTTAAGGGGAGGTAACTAAGTATCGTTGTGGAGACTACTTTTACGAAATAAGCAGTAAAAAAGCAAATATTAGTGTAAACCTTGCATTTCAAACTATCTATTGCACACATTTTAAAACATTTGCGGAGTATTCATAATTACTTTTATTAAGGTTTGTTTTCAATTTTTTAATATAGATAGCTTCAAGAATACACACACACACACACACACACACACACACACACACACACACACACACACATATATATATATATATATATATATTGATTTCCTTTAAATTCCACCAAGGACGAGCAAAGTCCGAGTTGAAATACATTTTTAAAATAGATTCATACATTCTCGGATTAAACAGAATTTTGGGCTTACTCAAGGAATATAATTTCCACAGAAAGTCTTCTACAAACTATCTCCAAAATCAATCGCTGTAAACAACTGGTACAAAAATATCAGATCTCTTCGACAATGTGACATACGAAAAAAAAAAGAAACAAATACAAAGCCTCCCCCCCCCAAAAAAAAAACAACCCAAAACAAATTCCCCGGGAAAGAAAATCCCATTGTTTTCTTTTTGTTGTTGTTGTCGCTTTGATAAAGGACAGTGGGGAGGACAGAAAATTCCGATTTTAAAATCTTTCTCATACATGCTTCCTTTTGGAATATATATATATATATATATATATATATATATATATATATATATATAATGCACTTTTATATTTATGTTTACATACGCTCTATCTCTGATATTGAGCACTTTATCCTATAAATATGATCTATATATATATATATATATGCATAAATTTCCAAGAGTATAGGATCCAGACAGAACTCAATGTCCAGGACAGAGTAATAATATAATAAAAAGAAAGAAAGAAATAAGAATATAATATAAAAGGCTCAAACACTAATATTCCATGGTTATAATTTATTACATTGGAATCGTAATCACGATCCAATTCATCAGACCTCCAAATTCAAAAGTCTGATAAATTGGATCGTGATTACAAGGAATATTAGTGTTTGAGTTTGAGCTTTACCTGTATTCTATCCTCTTGAAATATATATATATATATAAATAGCGACTTTAGGTCATCAATATTTCTCATTTGTTATTACAGTCTTTAACAAAATATACTATTGGTATAACTTAGATGTTGAAATGATTCCTTTAACTAAAATATATAACTTTTAAAAATCTCTGTCCATGAAATTAAAAAATGCACGTTTTGATATTTTAATATTAATTGTAATAATTCTACGAAAATAAAAATTTATTTTAAAATATTTTCAAAAACGAGACAAAGTCAGATATGTTTTTATTCAAATATCGTGCGTATCTTTCTCGAGTGTTGGTTTTTATTTATGTCTATTCTTTAGTGTGTTTATCTTTCTCTCTCTCTCTCTCTCTCTGAATTTATAGTTTAATTTATTGTACAAGTTTATGATTAGTACTGTTGACTTCTAGCATATTTTCTTAACACTACACCAAGCACACTTCTAACTCCAACCAGTCGACGAGTTAAAGCTGCCATTTTATTTGAATTTCGCCGACTTTAATGTCGGGCTAAATTTAATTTGCCCTTTTTTCAAAAGATACATCACGGTAAAAAAACAAAAAACAAAAACTTATACTCTATGGAATAAAATATTTTAAATAGATATTTGAAAACAATAAGTTGAAATAAAAATGTGTTCGTTAAAAAACAGACTATACACGTCATTAGAGATTTTTAAATGATTATTTATAAAATCAAAGCAATGTCTCCAGCTTCGATCAGGCTTAGACCTACTCAGCCCAACTAGCCAAGTTAATTTTACTTAATTATTTTTTTTACTTACATTCTTTCTTTGTTATTTTTTTCTTTCTTTCTTCTTTATTATGAACAATATCAGCGAAATGTATTTCGGCCAATATTTTGAGGCTCTGAGATATAACAATTAATTTTGGATCCAGTTGAAGTCAAAAATGAAAACGTCGTACTACGAAAAAATGTGTTGCTTTGAAATTGATATACTTGAATGTTGAATCAGTCGGGCTATGGCCGAGAGGCCCGACGACCGGAGTCACTACTGTAGTCTTTGAAAACACACACACCTACATGCCCACCACACACACACCCACACGCACACACACACACACGCACACACACACGCACACACACACGTTTTTCATCATTTAAAATGGGAATATCTGCTTAACTACATTTCCCAGGGAAACGAAATTGAATGAGCTTCATGTTGAACAATAAAATATTTATTAAAATTCGAACAATATATTCAAAAGCATAGAGATTTTAAAACCGATTGCACAAAGCTTCACAAATATTCAATATGCTCACCACCTTTGACATGACAAACGGCAAGTCGGTAGTCCAGCTCCTACCAAACACGCTGTAACATTTTTCCCGTAACATTCTCCTGCGCGTCCGCGGTTCTCTACTTAAATTCTTCTAAGTTTGTAGGAAGAGGTGGGGGATATAAACCTGTCCGTTCACATAGCCCCATAGAAAGAAAACGCAAGGTGTCAAGTTAGGTTAACGTAGTGACCATTTTATCATCACATCGTTATTATCACTGGCACGCCCGATCCATCTTCCTGATAGATTCTCATTGAGATAAATTTAGCACAATCAACTTATTTTTTTACTTTTGTGAAATCTTGAGATCATTTGAGCGACAACAAAATGATATAATTTTTTGTGGGGGTGGACAGGAGAATTCCTCATATCCGGAATCCCTCAAATCCGGAGTGCCTCATATCCGGAATCCCGCATATCCGGACATGATTTTAATGTGTATATTTGAACTATTTCGGTAATATGTAATAGATTTGAAATTTCTGTTTGTCAGGAAATTTACTTTGGATAATTGCTTATGCTTATTTCACCCTAATGGCTTGTATTGGGAAAAAAAAGATGATGGGAATAAGAGGAAAAGAACAACTTTGGAGTTATCACAAAAAGTGGACATTTTAAAAAGACTAGACGCTGGAGAAAGTTCATTGTAACTAATGGCTGAGATCAACATAGGAAAGTCAACATTGTATGATATAAAATCTTCCAAAGAAACTATTCTCCAGCATTCACACTGTCACAATTAACAAGAAAATAAAAAAAAATGATTGTGATGAAACCTTGACTGAAATTGAAAAACTATTGAAAAAGTTGTCACTTTTATGGAAAGAAAGCCAGCATTCAGCTATGACGATTGCAATAACGGACGTAGAGTTAAAAAGTGTCCTTTGTTTAAAAAAATGTCAAGAACAAAAGCAAAACGAAACGCGGAAAAAGTTGAGAATGACATTAGAAGAGAAAGATTCATCATGAAACAGCGATTAAAAATCCTCGTTACATTATTTCTTTTGCATACGTGGCAGACTTAATTTAATGAATTTTCATTAATATTAAATAATTTAATTTTTTTCCTTAAAATCAATTCGGTTATCTTTCACTCACCATTAGCTTATTTCGTTTACTCTAAAATATTGAAAATAAATGTTAAACCTGATTTCAGTTCTTTTATTTTAATCTAAATATAACCCCTCATATCCGGACTTTGTAACCAATTCCTCATATTAGAAAGGCCCTCTTAGTCCTGTTGTCAGGGATTCTAATGTATATATATATATATATATATATATATATATATATATATATATATATATATATATATATATATATAAAAAAGAAGACGTAAATGTTTTTGGTTGAAATGTGGATTCTTTATTTTAAAATATATATTATACTCTATTTTCTATAACTCAGCTACACGTGTTTCTAGTTTCACGAACTTCCTCAAGCAATGAGTATATATTTCCATATATAAAAATGAATTTTTTGCGTGGTAGTGATTCAAATGTCTTTCTTGGACTGGTGATAAAAGTTGATACATATATATTGCATATAGTTCTCTTGTTAATATTTCGTTCTAATACATACGTATATATATATATATATATATATATATATATATATATATATATATATATATATATATGTCTGCATGTGTTTAGGGTGGGCTGATATTGTTTGATAGAACCTTAGAAGCATACCTGAATAAAATTAGGGATTAACTTTTCCACACTTTCAAAACAAATATGAGACTGTCGAACTCTGTATTAATCGAAACAGATTCCCATATGTAATTA